TTTCATGCCCCAACTAGGTAACCTCATCAGTGTAGAAGGGAGTGGGGTTTGCAGAGGGAGGAGGAGGCAGGAGGAGGAGGAGGCAGGAGGAGGAGGAAAGACGCCTTTGGGGGCTTTGATGCTGTCTGAGCTTGACTGTCTTCTTGCAGACCTTTCACGCCCCAACTAGGTAACCTCATCCGTTCTCAGAGAGCAAACCCCGCTGCCTCCTAACACTGATAATGTCACCTCGCTGGCTCATGCATGGCGCAGTCCCAAAGCAGCAGCATCGGGGCCTCTCCCAGGCTGGGCCTCTCCAAACACCGTCGCCTGCAGCCAAGCCGGCCGAGGCCGATGGGAGCTGCCAGCTCAGCACCTTTGAAAGTCCCCGGGGCCAAAGACAGAGGCTCCCTTGCATCAAAGCGAGGAGCCCCATGAAAAGCAATGGCACTTCCTCCTGAGTCAGCGCTCCTTGAGTTGCATTCTAATGTTTATTTTCTTTCTGTTGGCTGCCTGCTTTTGTCTCCCTGTGTGTGTGGGAGGGAGGAAATAGATGGAAATGTAGCGTGCACCCATTCTACCATGCATGGGAGCATGGATAAATAGATTTCTTTTCTTTTCTTTTTCTTATACGTCTCCATGTATTCATAACTATGTTTTTACTTATACCTGTTATCTTGTAAGCAGTTGACAAAAATCAATAAATAAATGAACAAAAATAAATAAATTTCCAACTCACACTCACCCACCCACCCACAAAGGGTCCAGATCTTCCTAATTTGAGTTCGCTCTGTTGCAATCCTCTCACTTCCGAAAGCTGGCCAGCCTTTTACCAGGGGAGTTTGGTTCAATTCTGCCCGTCTCTCCTTCTAGGCACCCTGTATGCTTCAACTGGCTCAACATATGGCAGCCCGTGGGGATTTTGTGCAAACTTCTCTTCCCTCCTCCCTTCCCCTCCCCTCCTCCCCTCCTCTCCTTCCTTGGCTTCCCTTTGCCTCTCTTCTCCTCTCCTCTCCCCCCCTTCTCCTCTCCTCCTCTCCTCTTCTCCCTTTGCGTCCCTTCTCCTCTCCTCCTTTCTCCTTTCCTCTCCTCTCCCCTCCTCCTCTCCCCTCCTCCTCTCCTCTTCTCCCTTTGCTTCTATTTTCCTCTCTCCTCCTCTCCTCTCCTCTCCTCCCCTCCCTTCTTCTTTCCTCTCCTCTCCTCTCCTCCCCTCTTCTCTCTTCTTCTCCCTTTGCTTCTATTCTCTTCTCCCCTCCTCCCTTCTCTCCCCTCCTTCCCTCCCCTCCCTTCTCCTTTCCCTTCCCCACTCCCCTCCTCTCTCCCCCTTTGCTTCCCTTCTCCTCCCCTCCCTTCTTCTTTCCTCTCCTCTTCTCCCCTCCCTTCTCCTCTTCTCCCTTTGCTTCTATTCTCCTCTCCCCTCCTCTCCTCTCTTCCCTCCCCTCCTCCCCTCCCTTCTCCTTTGCTTTCCCCTCCCCTCCTCTCCCCCCTTTGCTTCCCTTCCCTTCTCCTCTCCTCTCTTCCCTGCCCCAAATGTGTATTTCGGCATGTTGATTTGCAATAGAGTTTTGCAGGTTGTTTCATTATCTGTGCAGGAACCAAAGTTGAAGTACATGATTAAGCCTCTTTCAGGAAAAGAGACAGCTTCTACAATGGTCATTTGGGCTATTTTTGCACACAGTACTAAGTTGAGTTCACTTTAACCTTGATTATTTCCTTGGTGCGTGTTTTTGTGTGTGCGCGCGGACGCCTTAAGTATGTTGTGTGAACCCAGGCCACTGGCTGACTTAATGATTCATTGTGTTGTGCAAAGCCAGGAAATGGAAGAACTGTGCAACAAGATGAAGCCTGTTGCCAGATTGTCTCCCCTTAATCTTCTGAGCTTTGAAAGAGCTCACGGGGGAATTTGTGGTTCCGAAATGACAACCCTTGCAGATTCACAAAGACAACCTTGGAAGCCCAGCAACAAGGATCATTTCCAGTGTCACATCCTAATCTTCATTGATTAGGTTACCTTGCTTGAAAGTAAAACAATTGTAACCCTCAAATCTTAGCTTGGAAGAACTCCTTAAGAACACAACACATCCTAATCCTTCTGTCTCTCTTCTCTTGTAGGCCTCTGGGCTCAGAAGGTGCTTGTCAATGAGACGGTCTCCGGCTTCATCGGGACTGATGTAGTCCTTCATTGCAACTTGGTCAAGATCAACCACACAAGGATCACTCAAGTCACCTGGCAGAAGGCCAGTAATGGCTCCAAGCAAAATGTGGCCATCTACAACCCCGTCATGGGTCTCTCCATCCTTCCCCCCTACGAGGAGAGAGTGGTCTTCCAGAGCCCATCCATCACCGACGGGACCATCAAGCTGTCCAACCTGCAGTTGGACGACGAAGGGATCTACATCTGTGAGTTTGCCACCTTCCCTACCGGCAACCGGGAAAACCAACTCAATCTCACCGTATTGGGTAAGTTGCCGATATCATTTTATTCATTATTTACAAGTATTAAAATGATATGCTGCCCTCTCGTTGTTCAAGAGATGGTGGGTGCCTTACAATACCGTAAAAGCAAAAAATGCAAAATGTTAAATGTTACCATTGAAAGAAATTTGATAAATTAGGAACCAGAATTCAACGAGAGGTGGAGATGGGATCTTTCTCCTAGATCGCTAACTAGCACCGACCTGGAATGCCCCATTGGGGTCCCATGCGGGTTGGTAGAGCCAGGTTTTGGGGGTCATTTTGGAAGGCCAAGAGAGTGGGGAGGCAGATCTTGAGGGGCACAATGTTCCAGAGGGTGGGAGACCCAGAGAAAAGACCCTTTTCCTGGACGCTGCCAGAGGCAATTCCTTGACCAATGGGGTCCAGAGCATGCCCCTTCTGTCATAATGAGTGTAGCATGCCTACCCATTGGGGCTACAGCAAAGACAAAGTGTGCATGTGAGTGATCCATCAGTCTTCCCCTATTTGATGGCTGTTTGATGGTCATGTGGCTTTACTAGTTTCTTACCCTGTTTCCCTGAAAATACAACCTACCCTGAAAGTAAGTCCTAGCTTCATGTTTCCTTCATCTCAACAATAATGTTATTGCACAGGTAAAAATTAAACTAGGATGGGGATGTGGAGCTTCCCTACTACTTACCTTTGGACAGTTGTAGCCAGGCCTCGCACACCCAACACCTGCCTCGCCGGCCCATTTCTTCTGCAGCCAGCAAGGCTGGGCAAGCTTACCTGAAGGCCTCTGGAGCTATAACAAAGCTTTGGATCGATCCAGAGCTCTGTTATCAGCTGCAGAGGGCTTAAGGAAAACCTTGTTGGCCACAGAAGAAGTTCCTGAAGGCCTCTGACAGCGAAAAGGAGGCCAGGCGTGACTTGCGCAAGTGAGATTAGTCCGTGGATGACATCCCCTGAAAATAAGACCTGGTGCCTTTTTTGGTAACAAAAAAATTTAAGACAAGGTCTTATTTTCAGGGGAACATGGTACCTGGATTTGATAGACATATTTTTCCCTTATATAGAAATACACACACACATCTCTTTTTCATGAGAAAATTCAGCTGCGAGTTAGAATGAGAGCAGGAAATATTTGCCTTCATTCTGCACAGGTTTTGACTTGTCCTCAGGTGATGACCGGTGTCATCAGATGGTCTTAGATAGATTGTCTGCAGTGGCCTCAGGCTGGCTCCATTCACCACGTTAAGAGTTGGTGACTCTGTCGCAATCTTACTTTGAGAGCATTGTTGTTGAGATGAAGGAAAAGGAATGGACTCTGGACAAATGCAAATGTCTGTGTAACAGGGTGAAGCTTGTTATCCAAATTATTGCCCAACCTCTCATTCCGGGCTCTTTGTTTTGAAAATATTGATGCAGGCCATTTAATGTAAACCCTCTGGCAAGTTTACAGCAATAATATAAAAACAAAACTCCTTAAAAAAATGATCCGTGAAAAACATCAACATTAGTGGGAGTTTATGGCTGGGGAAGGTCATCCGTAAAAGCTCAAAACCAAAGTAGAACTCAGACTCTCCTGGTTTATGGTCTCATTCTGTAAATACTAACATCAAACTGGCTCTTTGCTTTTACATTAGGGAAGACTTATTTCTGAATCCAGGCCTTACTATCCACACATTTCACTAAACCATGGCCTATTTTAACACTAGTCTGTAGAATAACCAGAGTGACTTGGTTCACACAGAGCAGAGAACTGTTTGCAAATAACAGAATAACAGAGTTGGAAGGGACCTTGTAGGTCATCTAGTCCAACCCCCCTGCCCAAGCAGGAGACCCTGCACCGTTTCTGACCGATGGCAGTCCAGTCTCTTCTTGAAAGCCTCCAGGGATGTAGCTCCCACAACTTCTGAAGGCAACTTCTGTTCCATCGGTTGATTGTCTTCACGAAGGACAAGAAAATTCCTTATTTCCAGGTGGAATCTCTCCTTGTTCGGTTTCTATCCATTATTCCTTGTCTGGCCTTTGGATGCTTGGAATATAGGTAGAAATCAACATGCTAGCCTAGAAACTCAGATATATGAGAGCACCTGCTCTTTCTCCCTTTCAGTTCTCCTTTTTTTTGGAGAACTAGAAGTGTGAAAGGAAGGTGAGATGGTCATCAGAGGCTACAAAAGAGCCCTCAGCTTCTCCTTTTCTAGCATACCAGATTTTCGTAGCATATTTGCGATCACGTCCAGGTGAAGAACGATGCGAAACCTGCCCCATTTTTCATGGAAATGTGACATTCCAATGAATCAGTTTCAGCAATGGGAACTCATTTGCCAAATTGCATGTGTTACTCCACGTAGGTATGTATTTATAAGATTCCTATTTCCTCCTGTCTTGTAAAACACAACTTTGGATGGCTCACAACAATAATAGAAAGACAAAGAAGGAAAACAAGCTGTAGGCTGGTTTCATCTGACATTGGGATGCAGAGAGAAGCCCATGTCAACAAGTCTACCGAGATCTTCACTGATGTTCAGGTCTTGGGCAAACTAATGAGGAGGACATCGTGTTAATATTCATCAACAGCAATAACACTTAGACTTATATACCACCTCGCAGCACTTTCCAGCCCTCTTCAAGCGGTTTACAGAGTCGGTCTAATGCCCCAACAATCTGGGTCATCATTTTACCAACCTTGGAAGGATGGAGGGCTGAGTCAACCTCGAGTTGGTCAGGATTGAACTGATGGCAATTGGCAGAATTAGCCTGCAATACTGCATTCTAACCTAGAAGGAAGGAAGGAAGGAAGGAAGGAAGGAAGGAAGGAAGGAAGGAAGGAAGGAAGGAAGGAAGGAAG